GAACAAATTTATTATCTATTTTATCTTTTTCTTTTTGGCATTTTCTCAATAAGTAGCTAGATTTCTAAAACCAATACTAATGCTCCACCAACCATGGTTGAACACTGATTTTTTTTTTATAAAACTATTTTACATAATATGTTTATATAAATAAAAAATCATGACTAAAAAAGAATGTTTTAATTGTAAAAATATAAAAGAAGGTTTAATGGTTAATTGATGAGATGAAGAAGAAAGAGAACATATCGAATACTGTTGTTGAGATTGTTCTCAAAATTTAATTCAAAAGGAATTAGATGAAAAAAATAATAGCAAACTGAGAAAGAAATAAAAAGAAAATATTTAGGGAAACCTTACAAAAGGTTAAAAATAAAGAAGAGTTTGACTGACCACGAAGGATATGGAGTTTAAAAGATAAAGGCAATGGGAGATGAGACAGATTTACTACATATTGCCCTCAATGCAAAATCATGTTGGATTGAGATGTCACAGCTTATGTTCTCGATGTCATAATTGCTAGGAAGAAATTGCAAGAGGTAAACAAAATGATCACTTTACTTGAAAAGATGATAACACTCCAAGTTATATTTGCCAAAAGTGTTACCAGAAAATGGTGGTCATGTGTGTATTCAGAAGAAGCTTTAAAAAAAAAAGACAACTGTATCATTGATGTTGCAAATTCAGGTGATTCTACTGCAAAAAAATGTCTTTTATCAAACTTAATGAATTTTTAACAGCTGATTGAAGAAAGATCACAAAGATTCATTGAAGAAACAGTAAGTTTACCAAGTAAATTCTTAATCAATACAGTTGAATTTTGAAGATGCAGATAATAAGAAAAAACAAAATTACAAATTAAATCCAGTGTTGAAATTCAATGCCCAATCAAAATTTAAATCTCAAAATATAATTACTAAATTTACATTGGTCACACGACGAAATTTCAACACTACTAATAAAAAATGCTCTTCTGTTCAAGATGCAGAATCTAATGCTGACAGTTCAAAAAGGCAAAGAAAAATCACTACACTTGATGAACATAATATACCTGACCCTCTTGTTGAAAAGCCAACCGAAAGTCAAATTATAGATGCTATAAGAAGAACAGGGTGGGAACATAAAAAACTAGTTGATTACATATATCAACATATAAAAAAGAAAAAAGAAATTGTTTAAATAAATTATTATATTTATTATCTTTATAATATACATATTTAATAAAAATACATTGGCTCAAAGTAAACTTGGAATTTTTCAAATAAAATAACTTTTCTATTGATAATGAATGTTGTTGATACAAACAAGTAAAATTCTGTTGTATTAAAAACCTTATAATTCTGTTATTTGAAGAATAATCTCAGAATTATCTTCTCAAATCTGTTGTATTCACTTAAGTATAAGTTTGTAAATATAAGACATAAGATAATAAAATACATATTTTTACATTCTTTGACAAAATAAAAAAATATTGTGAAAATTAAAAGTTACATTTGAAGAGAAAATTTGAATTTGAATTCTTTCGTAACATTACATGTAATTACAGCAGATATGAAATGATCACTGGCTGATAATAATAATAATTATAATAACAGCATTACGGATCATATATTAATAATAATTATGACGAACATCTATAGATGAAATGTCAAGAAAAGAATCTTCTATTGAGAATTTTTTCAAGAGCAAAATTCTGCTTGATAAACCCTCACTTGGAAATTTAATAAGAATGAATGATTATAATAGAACTAAACTAACAAGAATTACTTTTTTTAGCAAACTAAAATGAATATTTTGAGATCCAACAAATCTGGATATAAGACGTTGAAAACCAATTATCATAACAACATGACTATTTAAAATGCCACAATAGTTAGGTGATTGTTTTATGAGAATTCGGGAATCTATGATGCCTGGTTTACCATCTTGCGCTTGCCCATATGCAATTACATTCATATACTTTTTAACTCGTTCATCTGCAGATAATAAAATCTTATTTAATGTTGTAAGATTTGGCTTATTATCTTTTTTTTCGGTCGCGTTTACTTCGTCGAAAATTATTTCGTCGACAATCATTTCGTCGACACCCATTTCGTCGAAAGTTTGTTTCATCGAAAGTTCATTTCGTCGAAAATTATTTCATCCTCGAGCCAGAGACCGAACAAGTTAGATGTGAGGAGTGTGGAAAGTTAGTTAAGAAATTAGGTGAGGAAAGCGGGGTGTGTGGGAAGTGTGAGGTGAAATTTGTTTAAAGAAGTTTTTTTTTGTGACGAAATAATTTTCGACGAAATGAACTTTCGATTAAACAAACTTTCGACGAAATGAATCAGACCCACATATAATTAGAAAGTTCTAAGTTTCTCGTCATAGGTAATTTCTGTTCAACAATTATATCATGATCGGTTTCATAGACTTTTTTTTTGTCTCTTCAAATATTCAATAAGCTGTCCTGTGCTATATTTTCGACCCAGATCTTCCAAGATGCTTGCATCTTTCCCTTCTATTATCTTGGCTGAAGTAGAAATCGGTGTAGTTATCGTATACGTATTTATGTTTTTGCTAAAAATCAAGAAAAAAGAGACGCGTTGATGAGACATGACACAAAACATGTTAAAATAATAAATACAAAGTTGGATTGATCATTATGTATATAACTAGAGTGACGACGAGTGGCAATAACCACCACCACCATCCTTATGACAAATAACACTTACCCATATATTTTTCTGCTTCGTTTTCTCCTTTTCTTTTATTTTTGATTTGTTTATACATTTCGATTAAAAGAAAAAATAAAAATTAGTTAAAAAAATGGGAACCGATTCTGTTAATATTAATAATATTAATATTAATACGAATATGTACTAGTACGGGACTTTATCATATTCGGATGAATTCAAATATTCGGTACTACATACCAAATAGCAATCTTCATAATAATAACAATAAATAAATGAACAATAATTTTTATTTTATTTGAATAAAAACGAAGAATTTAAAACGAGTAATTTGAATAAAACGAATTTGAATAAAATGAATAAATCAGCGAATAATTTGAATAAAATGAATAAAACGAGTAATTTGAATAATAATTTGTATTGCGAATAGAGAAACTCTACTATTATAAACAAGGCCCAATATAAAACTTTAATTGAACAATTGTTTGATTGTTCTTTCACTTGGTCAAAAGGTGACGTTAATCTTTTCTTTTAAAATTAATTTATATGAAATAAACAAAATAAAATAAAAAGATTAGAACACATGTCCAAAACACAATGTTATTTTAGCATTTCTATTTGGAATGTAGTACCGAATATTCAAATGCGTAACAGGATATTCGAATATTCATGACCAAAATCACTTACCATCACTATTACACTAAGAATGTACACGGAAATCCCGTATTAGCATGTTAATTATAATATTATTTTTATTTATAGAGAAGCGTGTTAAAATAGTAATTGAAGGCACACATATTAAAATAGAATTTCTGTGCCTCCATTAAATAATTAAATCTTTAAAAAATATTACAAAATCGCGAACGCTTTTGTACAAAGAAAAACCCCAATTTTTTTATGTGATCAATAATGTTAATAATTACAAGAAATACCATGATAAAAAAGGCAACATGACTATTGAAGATTCTCTCTTATGCGCACACACATGGAAAAATGCTCAAAAAGAGTCTATTTGATTGTTGGAAATTTATTTACAGGTATTGAAGTGTACCACCTTCAAGACTCAAATATTTAACATTCTCATCTTCCTAGCGTACAAAGTCTAATACGAACTGAGACACCCAATGATACAATGATGCAATTTAATTTTAGGTGGGGATTCACAGCCCTGAAGTTTATTGGAATTGTATTGTTCTCAATGAGAGTATTAAAGCCTCTCGCTTGTCTGAAGCCTCCTAGCTTGTTCGAGGGTCTTTTTTGTGGAAAAATTTATAATCCACATATAGGATTAACAACAACATCACCAACATATTTATTCATCCCTGGGACACGCATTTTTACATAATTTGAAATCATTTTTATTATTATCATTATTGCTGCTTGTATCAAGTGATTTACTTGTATCAAGCATTTTACTTACGTCAAGTGTTTTTAATTACGTCAAGTGGTTTTTATTTTAATCAAATCGTCAAAATAGCCCTGGTGAGAAACTACCTCTAGTTAATTCTTTATGACTAAAGTCAAAAGTCTCGTCATACATCATTATTATGGACAGAGATTTTTAAATAGTAAAAATCCTCAGTTCGTTAAAAAAGGGTTGTTATAGAGAGTGTGTACTATAGACTAGTATGATTGGCTTGAAATTTTTTTTGACAATGAACAAAAACAACAAAACATACAGTTCACTATCTCTATAATAACAATAGTAATGGATCTTTCTATGACGGATCTTGAACTGCGATTTTAAGCCCAATTTATATCTCCTATTACTACTATATATAAATTAATATTGTTTATAACAGATTCTCTCTATAACGGACATTTTTTCCTAATAATAATAATAATAGTAACTCCATGCGAATTATTCTAAATGTTCTAACTATGTAATTTGTTTAATTATGAAATTCTATTTAAAAAAAGAATAAAATCACGAAAAAGAACATCTTAATGTCATTTGTGACTCTGATACCATCTCACACTATTTATTCATTATATTATTCACTATATTATTTTATTATACGGTTATTTATTTTTCATATTATTAAATTGGGATGTTGTCATTTTAGTTGGCATTTTGAAATTTTAAATTCGCTACAAATTAAATAATAACCAAAACTTTGTTCCTTGTTATCCTTAATTGAGAAATAAAAAAATTAATATTCGTCAAATAAATAAATTTCATTTTAATCATTGTATACAGTTAGAATGATAAATTTTTTTTTTCTAATTAAATGTCAATGGAAAGAATATATATGGAAGTGATTGTTTCACAATGTCTAAAATTGTGATAGGCCATTCAATATCTCCTTGTGCCATAAATGGTACATCCAACACGCGAATATGATCGACTTGCATTTAATTCGAAATTCTGGAAACGAAAATATTTTTATACAAAATGGATTGATTTTTAAGCGAATTCTGTTTTCTACAATGAAACACTTACAACTTTTAATTTTTTTAAAAAAAAAACAACTTTAATAATAATCCGTTACAAGCAAACTTTTAAAAAAATTCTCAACATTCAAAAAATTAAATCATGACAACTGATGAAATTGATGATGGACGTTCAAGTATACGTTCAAGTGTTGGGGGTGATCAAGGAGATAATCAAGGATATAACCAAAAAATATTAACAACTTTTTCCGGTTTTGCAGGAAATGTCAATAATATGCTAGGATCTGTTAGTGTTCCATTTTTCATGAATTATCCGTAAATATGTAATCCGTCATTAATATGCAATCAAATATTTTGAAATTTAGGGCATCTATTCAACACCAGGAATTGTTTGGCAGACAGTATGTTTTAATTAAATTCAATACTTTTAATTAATTTATATACGTGTATTTATTAAAAGCATGTATTTTTTTTTTTTACAAAGGTCGATTCACCTGGTGTTGCATTGATTCTATGGATATTTGGTGGCTTTGTAAGTTTATGCGGGTCATTAACTTACGTTGAGGTAATCTATGCATATACATACATATACATGATATTAAAATTATATATTAATAATTTAATTAAAATATTAATTTAAAATTAACCTAAAAAGTTTGGAACCATAACTTTAGAAAGTGGTGGTGAAACTGGCTTTTTTAAAAAAGCATTTCCTAAACCAAAATTGCTTATTAGCTATCTTTTTAGTTTTGCTTGGATTTGGTAAATTTGAATATGTAATAAATAATATGTGTATATTTAGAGTGTATGCATAGATATCATTCTAATTTTCAATTATATTTAGTGCAATAAGACCTGCATCCTTGGGCGCAGTGCTACAAGTACTAGCACAACATTTTCTGTTTGTTGTTATACCACATCCTCCTGAAAATACAGGAAATACAACAGTAGACGAACATGGGTATTGTCAAGCATCAGAAAAATTTCATCGACAATTACATCCAAATAATGATTGGGGGTTGGAATTTTGGTGAGAAATTTATTATTATTGTTGCCTACAATCAATCGATATAAATAAAACCATCATGTATGTTGCTGATAAAAATAATTTATTAAAATTATTATTATAGGACCTTAAAAATTATTGGAATAATAGCATTGTCAATTATCACATTTTATCATATTTTTTCAAATGTGTGGGCCAGCCGCATCAACCAAGCACTAGCAGTGGTTAAAATGTTAACTCTGACAGTCATTATTTCTATTGGATTTGTTCAACTTGTTAGAACGGATGTCAGTAAGCCAAATTGGCAAAATCCATTCTATGTTACAGAAAATCTTTCGTTTTCAAGTGTTGCTAGCGCTTTAATTTCAGTATGTTGAATATATTAATTTATTTTTTTGTCTTTAAATATTTTTAACTTTTTTTTTTGTTATAAAAAGGTTTTCTTTGCATATAATGGTTGGAACAATTTGAATTGTTAGTAGTATCTTTTATTAATTATTGGTGCTTTTTATTTACCTGTCCATTGATTCATTCTAATAAACACATGTTAATTATAAAATAGACTCTTTGGATGAATTTAAAGACCCTAAAGGTCGATTGATATACAGTAATAGTCTCAGTGTCACTGTTGTGACTATATTGTGTAAGTTTTGTTAATATTTATTTCGTGTCATAGTTTTATATTAACATGTGTGTTTTTATGTTTATAGATACTCTTACAAATGTTGCTTTCATCACAGTCGTGAATTCAAAAGATGTAAATAGATATGGAAAAGATTTTAATGAAGTGATAGCAGGCAATTTTGCCAAGGAGATAGGTGGCGAGAAGTTTGGAAGGGCATTGTCATTCTTTGTTGCATTGTCTGCTTTTGGTGCTGCATCTTCTATGACATGGAGGTTTGTATAATTAAAATATATACAATTTTCTCTTGCAGAAGTATATCCAATAATGAATTTATTATTATATACAATTATACGTAGTGGATCACGTGTCATTGTTGAAGCTTCGAGAATCGATTTTATTCCACTTTTCTCTGTATATTTAAAACAGTTAGATGATAAAAAATATACACCACGCAATGCACTTTTGGCACAATTTATTTGGTGTGTAATGGTGTTTGTAATTCTTGGTGGAGCATTCTCCTCTGATCCATTCAAGACGCTGTCAGATTTTTCCACATATTTTGCATGGATTTTTTACTTCCTTGCTAGTATTGGTTTATTGGTAAATATAAAATAATTTAATACCAACCTTCTTTAGTTTATATGACAATGATGCTAATTAATAAAAAAATATCATTATTATTTAATAAAACAGTGGCTTAGATATAAAGAGGCAGAAATTGATCGATCATTCAAAGTTCCGAATTCATTAATAGCTATATTTATATGTTCAGCAATATTCATAATTATTGGTAATTCAATTAAGAAGGATATTCCAAAACCGTCTACATCTGATTACGACGATTGTCAAAAAAATGCAATAACCATCGATCAATATATAATACCAATTATATGCGGTGGATTTTTATTTGTTGGGGCTGGTTGTTGGTGTATTAGTTATTTCAGATCTGGTGGGAATTCACGCAATAATAATATTAGAGGTGATGTTTCTAGTGAAAATAGTGACAATCATGACAATAGCGATAATAAAATTGTTGGTACATCTTTGTAATATAATTCATTTTATAGATTGAAAAATTTTATTTATACCATTATTAATATCCTATTTTAGAAATATATAATTATTTAATTAAAAGCACTATCGTTCATTAATACATTAATATTAATATTCTATTTTAGAAATATTTAATTATTTAATTAAAAAACACTATCATTCATTAATTTATTAATATTAATATTCTATTTAGAAGTATATAATTATTTAATTAAAAAACATTATCATTCATTAATTTATTAATATTTAATATTCTATTTAGAAATATATAATTACTTAATTAAAAAACATTATCATTCATTAATTTATTAAAAGTAGTTATTTGATCATAATTAAGTTGGGATTAATTAGAAATTCTCATTTCTCAAGTTTTAAATGCTGCGGAACACTTGTCAAGCACCATTCGCCCACCTCTTCTCTTAAAGGCTACATTTCAAATTTCTCGCCAATTTAATTAATTTTTTGAATAATAAATTTCTTTTAATAATCATTTCGTAATTCATATTATCCATTATGGCAGCATTAAATTCCATGCGCACATGCATATAAATATTATAAATATATCAACAACGTAATTCATTTTTTCTCATTTTCAAATGGAGTTGAAATTTAAGCCTTCAATTTACAAATCATGCCTATCAAACTTCAACCAGATATCAGGTGCTACCTGATTTAGCATTATTTGGAGTGTGGTTTTTTACCTTCCCTTGTCATATTTTTTATTTGATCAATTGGACCTTTGAATAATATTATTAGCTTGGTTGATATTGAAGAGAAATGATTCAGTCGGCGAGGCGTAACATTATACATTAATTACTTTGCAATTATTTTCATTAAACGACTTTTTCATCTATTATGAGTGTGAATGGAGAAAATTTTTGCATAGATGCTGCATATAGCAGTGTAAACAATGAAGAAGCATTCACCGAAATAAACTATTAATGACATACATGTGTCAAAGTGTTGCAGAACGATTTTGCTTTAACAGTTCACAAAACGTGACTTTGTCAGTAAATGAAAATATCGCTTTACCAGGATGAATCTATGGAGCGAGGAGCAGAACTCCTTCTTGGATTTATTAAATATCTTTTCATTTAAATTTAAACGCCTGAAGGTGGATAGAGAGATGTCATAACTGAATATAGAGCATCGGATTAGAATTATTTATTTCTCTCCTCGAATTAAAAAACTTTCAATCTCTTTCAGAAAATGATGATGACTTTCGACATGCTAATATGATATGCGATGATAAATTACTAAAAATTCATCATCATTATTATTAAAAGAAAAAAAAGTAGTGGTTTACAGATAGGTATCAAATATGATTGGGTTTCCTTGCGATTTAAGACTAATTTTGGAATGGCTCGTGATGATTTAGCCAAATGTTTGATATTATTATATTTATTCTTTGAATTGGATTTTTGTTTGTTAATTAATTTATTAATAATGCTCTTTTTATATTAGATATGCACCACTAGCACATTTAGCAACTGTCCTCGATCCTTGAATTCCTCTGCACTTATCGTTTTAAAGGCGCACGATATCTATGTCCCCAAAAAACTAGATTTCTTAAATCAAAGCTAAAAAAAAATTTAATAATTTATATAGAGAGAGTATATGATGTCATAACTCTTGATGTTGTCTGTGCATCTCCATTTTGTTAAAGAGTATAGATTCAAAAATAGTTGGAGGTCATACCGAAGTAACAATTATTCCACTGCTTTCTCAACCTGGTGGATCAATTTTCACAGAAGGAGATATAAATAAATGCTTTGACATAGAACGCATAGAATACAATTTGGTAGTGATGAGGTTGTTAAAGCTGAAATTGGTATTATTATGTGCCATAGTAAATAGTGAAAAAGGGAATTTTGGAGCTCGTTTATGTTAAATCTGATTTATTTTCAGAATAAGATATGGAGTATTTTGCGAATTAAATCCAAAAAGTGTTGGCAAAATTTATCTAAAAGAGAGTCATTGTCAGGACTTTATAATAAAAAAATATAATTTTGTTTTTAATAATTGTTACAATTAAGCATGTTAGCCGAAATTGCCTTTCTTAATATTAATATTAATAAATGATCATCACCAAATCCGAAGTGCCGAAATAGCCAAAATCAACTTTATTAGTTGTCATCCAAAATTATTTGAACGCTTTAACTCAATAGCCAAAATTCTGGGTAATTTTTTTATGTCTATTGATATAAAAAATATTGTAAATCAGAAATTGCTTGCCGAAATTGATTTTTTCAAAAACTATTTCGGCTAACATCCTTAGTTACAATAATTATACTTGTGTATACGTAAAAAGTTATCGATAATAAAATAGCGAGAGTTTATTAATTAAAAAGATTGATTATAAATGCTTCCTACCAGAATCGAACTGGTGCCTTCAGATTATGAGACTGACGCGCTAACCACTACGCTAAGGAAGCTAATTTATTCCTTGTTAGATAAATTTATCTTATTTGAATACTTATTAGTTTAATTAAAAAAATATTTAATTTAATTTGCATACTAATGTTTCTTTATTAAATTAAATAAATAATAAAATTATTGTCTTCAATTTTAATTATATATAAATATATATATAAATAAAAATTCATTTTACCATTCTCTTCTAGCTAAAAGTTGACATGTATATTCTATTATTCAATAATTACGTTGCCAACCCCCACCAGAAAAATTTACTACCAGAAGACCTTTCAACTCAATAGTCTTCAGTAATAAACCACAAGGTGCCTGTATTTTTCTAGCATAACTAAATAATTCATTATATAATTTTCCGTCTTTGAAACTTCCTTGATTTCATTTGTAACGGTTCTCGTATGATTTACAGCTTCTGCCACATTTGTGTTCCTCACCTAAATTCTTAGCTCCACATGCAAATGGAACTTTGAAATCATCTTTATTTATATGATAACATTGATCAGCTGGAATAAGTACTTCAGATTCATCAATGTAATCAACATTAATTGCTTCTAAAATCCATTATTATTATTATTATTATTGTTACCTGAGCTTTCACAAAATGTCCAATTATTACTTTAGCCAATACTGGAATTGTGACTGCTACCTTTATCTTCTTTATCAGACATTCTAATAATATTAATGAAATTATAAAATGTTGAGTTTTAAATTTATATAAAAAAATTTTAAACCCTCTTTTCTAATATCAGCTGATACGTGTTCTAAAGCCACAACAGCTACTGCGTCAGCTCCTTCTTCAATTCTTTCTTGTTCAACATTTACAACACCCATGATTACTCTCCCTTTAAATATTATTTAATGGATAATTAAGAAAACAATTTTTTTTGATCAGAACAAAAACTCCAACATTTGAAGTAAGGAATTAGCGTAAAAATTATCGATGATCATTCCGGTTGATGGTATGATAAAATTTAAAGATGAGTATAAATTATGTACATTTAATTTCACGTTAGTTTATTATTCATTCCGATCAATCTCTTCTTTTAGGATATATTTCTATTTAAATAAAGGGATAAAAATACCTCCGCAAGACTTATACCATAACTGATTATCCTGATTATCCAATCGTTGAATAACCAGCGAATTCTATTCAGTGGGCAAGACCACTCATCACGTATAATAATAAAATTTACGCGTTTAATATTAACTAATCAATTAATTATATTTAAAAAGAAAAAAGTGCTATAAAAGACGTTAAGAAGGAAAGAGCACATGCAACACAACAAAAGGAGATCTTCAAGTAAATATTGTTGGAGGGTGATTGTTTTTTAAGAGTTATTCTAATTAATTAATTAAATGACGACTGGCTTAACTTTACTTTTATTTTCATTTTATCTACTTAGTTTAAATAGAAAAGGAGACCTTTCCCCTTCTCGTCGTCGTCGACATCGACACCAACACCAATGCCGACACCAATATCAACACCAACATCGCGTCATCTCCACTGGTAATTAACAATCATAAATGGCTGAGAGAAGTGAAAAACGTCTTGCACAACATTTTCAAGTTAAAAGGCATCAGAACAAATCAATTGGAAGTAGAGGTTGGAATCGTCCAAAAAAACCTTAGTCGATTACTAGTTGGTCAAAATTTTCTTTAGTCGATTATTTAGTCGATTATTTTAGTCGACTAATTAGTCATAATAATAATAATGATATTCGGTTTTTTTTTTTAATTTGCAAATTACGAATTCATTTCCATTTGAATCTTTCACTTTTTCAAAATACTTCCACACAAAACCATGTGTTACTATTCGTTTTTTTAAAGGTCTTCTGGAACCACCGCTTAAATCATTGGAACTTGAAGCCAATGAAATATTGGACCTTGTGTTGGAAGTATTTATTCATTCACATGTGAAATTATCATCAACAACACACTACTATTGTCGTAATCATCATCATATTGATGGTATTGCATAGAAATTTTCCATTTTGAATGATAAAACACAAAAATCGTAATTGGTCAGACAATAATAATATTAGTATTAGTATTAGTATTAGTAGTATTATTAGTCGACTATTAGTTGTTCAAAAAAAAAGTTTAGTCGATTTCAACCTCTAATTGGAAGCAATCAATCAAAAACGTTATATGGAAAAGACGTTTTTGTTCTAAGGCCAACTGGTAAAGGGAAGCTTATATTACTAGTTGCCCGCAATGGTGAAAACCGAAAAACAAAAGGAATAACAATTGTAATTTTTCCATTGTTATCACTTATCATTGATCAAATTTACAATTTAAACATGGTATATAAACATTGTGCTTGAATAGTCTACAAGAAGCTAAAGAAAGAAAGAAAGTTCTTACTAAACTTAATGACCTCGGTTTTATTCGTTTTGTTCGGTTTTATTCGAATTATTATTCGTTTTATTCGTTTTATTCGAATTATTATTCGCTTTATTCAAGTTATTATTATTCATTTTATTTGTTTGATTTTTTTACTCGAATTATTCGTTTTATTCGAGTAAACCTTATTCGAATATAAACCTAACTACCACTCAAGATTATGATATTATTTTAGCACGAAGAGCTTAGAAATATTTAACCAATAACTTAATTACAATATAAAAGAGCAATAACTAATAATTAATTAAAAAATAGGATTAATTTTAGAAGAATATCTGATAAATAGGCTTTTAGACTATATGATAAAATACTAAGAAATTTATTAAATTATCAGTATGCCAATACCTTGATTATTTTTTTAAAGAATGTTGGCATTCAGATGTCAGATCCTGATATTTACTGATTACCCCATTACCTAATTTGGGATCATTTGACCAGTAAAAAGAGAAAGAAAGATGGGACTTTAAATTAGCACAAAAGAATTTTAAATCATGCACAAATGTAACAGCTTGATAGCTTGATTGACATAGTGGTGCAATATATTTTAAATATAAAACAAATATGACTTAGCTATTATCATTTCCTTGTATATGAATGCCTCCATCCATCGAATATCCACTATGGTCACGATTATTACTCAATACATTTGATATCATCATTTACATAACAAACAATTACATCACCCAGGTAGTAATAATACCAAGGCCATGTATAAATGAAACTTTTAACAATGTGTGTATACCCAAGTCTTTGGGATTCACAAGAATAAATAAATAAATAGGGGATTAAAAAAAAAGTTCCCTTCCCATTGTGTAGTTCCTTAAAATGAATAATAAATCTGATGTTAATCACAGGTATCAGACTTAATTAAAAATTTTCCTGTCACATACAAGCAAGCTTTGTGCATTCGGTAGCCTTATAACTGCGGATTTATTTTTTCCACAGGTAAAGCAATCGAATAAGTTTGAAGGCTTTGGACAAAATTCTCCCTTATATTTTCTCAGACCAGGGTCCGTTACCATATTGGCATTGATCACTGATAGCTGGTGATTGTGCAATGGTTGATTTGTGTTATATCCATCTAGAATAAAGTCAGTGTCTACAATTGGTTCAAAATTCTCCATCTCAGAGGGTTGCAATCCAGGTTGCTGTTTTGGATTCAGAGTTTGAGTCCTAGGTTGCTGTCTTGTTGGCAACATGCCTACTCAACAACAACCCTACCCCATTTAAAAAACAAGTTCAGTTGGTCAAATAAAAATTAAAGAAACAGAGAATTTATGAAAATGATTAATTTATACATAACATACCAAACAAAATCTGAACCATTTTATAACTTTTTTCTTGTAGGCCATATTGCAATAATTTTAATCTACAGGACAGGGGAATGATTGGGAAAAAACCCCTACCCAAAATTATAAATTGGTTAGTATTAAAAAAACAAATAATTTAGGAAAATAATTATACAAAACAAACATTATTTTACAACCTTCCTCTTAACATCAGAGCCCAAATGCAATTTCAGGGCAACATCTTGAGCTTGAAACGAGTTGCAGATTCTCTTAATATTCCTCTAGAGTTGCAATAGCTTGGTCACAGAGCCAGCCTTAGAGGTAGGATTGTTGCAGGTAACTTTTCGGATAGCATGCCAGTGGCCATCTCTGGTCTGAGAAGATTAGTGAAAAACATCCTTGACAATTGATGCAATCTCAGCAAATTCCAGGTCCCGTCTGCCCTCCCCTGGTATTCGGTTGCATCATCATATCATCGAGGGACTCTAGTCAGATTAGCCCTTTTGCATGAGGAATATGTGAGAATGACTGTAAAGTGTTCAAGACAACGTGCATGCTTCAACGTCTGCCAATTTCCATAATCAAACATCGCATATTGAAGTGTCTCCTTTCCAACAGTGTGCTGCCTTGACATTCTTGTAATTATTTATTATTATTTAATATTAATATTATTATTAATGTTGATTACGAAAAGTAAAATACACAATCTTGATAAGAATCTTATAAATCTTATTACCCAGCAATGGTCTGCCCACGTTTTGATTTCAATTATAATATTTATAATAACCAAAAAGACAATGTAAATTAAAAAAAGTACCTCTGTCATTAAACAATTCGCGTCGTCGACAAAAAAAAAACTGTACAAGTACAGTCACAGGACATGTCATGTAGATCAATAGGGAGCTGTAAGTAAATTTTTCAAATTTTGTTTGACGCGTATAGGTAGAAATAAATGTCGAATATTTACAGATTTTTGATCACATAGGTATTTCTTTATATAGTAAAAGCATTTATTTTAAAAGTAAATATAATAAATAAATAGATATTAAAATTTTTTCTTTACTGTACATAAATAATGACTAAATTAAAAGGTGTTTTATCTCTGACTTTATTCATTTAATTATTTATAATAGTGATGTTATTAAATATAAATAAAAGAAATTTATATACATAAATAAATAACAAATATAATTATTGATAAAACGTTCATTAATATATTTTGCAAGTTTCATAGATCTTGTTCTTAACACTTACTTCGATCATCCTATACAAACTATTGAATAATTGATAAAACGTTCGTTAGAATATTTTGCAAGCTTCTTAGATCTTGTCCTTAATGCTTTCCTATACAAAATATTGAATAATTGATAAAAAATTCGTTAGAATATTTTGCAAGCTTCATAAATCTTGTCCTTAACGCTTATACAAACTATTGAATAATTGATAAAACGTTCGTTAGAATATTTACAAGCTTCATGGATTTTGTTCTTTGACGCTTACTTAGTCCACTCCTATACAAACTATTGAATAATTGATAAAATGTTTGTTAGTATATTTTGTTCATAGATCTTGTCCTTAATGTCTACACAAACTATTAAATAATTAATAAAACGTTCATTAGTATATTTTGTTCATAGATCTTGTCCTTAACGCTTACTTTGATCACTCCTACACAAACTATTGAATAATTGATAAAAAATTCGTTAGTATATTTTGCAGGCTTTATAGATCTTGTCCTTAACGCTTATATAAACTATTGAATAATTGATAAAACGTTCGTTAGAATATTTACAAGCTTCATGGATTTTGTTCTTTGACGCTTACTTA